CATTTGATGTTGCTTAGTACATTTTTGTCAGATAAAACAAATGTCATCTTATACAACACATCAAGCCATCACAGTAAAAATGTTGCCTGCTAGTGATAGCTACATCAACTATTTTTCTCTGTAATATTCTTTTACTCCAAGAAAACATTTTAACTTCCAATGCAAAAGAGCTGCAGAAAATTATGTGGTACTCCATTTAAAAAAATGGAATGTCATTTCCGGCATACCCTTAGAAGTTATTCACCTAAGTACAAGTAGTATAGCCTTGGGACTGCATCTAAATCAACAATTATTTATTTTAGTTGAACAATCTAAGAAATTACCTACAATTTAATCCACTCATTCCCTGAACTTCCTTACTCACAGAGCTCTTGTAATGGTCTATGATGTAGTAATTAAGTACACTTCCTTGCAGCACCAGCACCAAAATGAGAGAGCTTGCATCAAGCACATGCAACACTAGGTGACGTGGAGAACAACATGTGGCAGATGGTGCCATTTCTCTAATTATATGGTCAGTCACTCTGCATTAATAATCTGAAATAAATCAGCAATCATAAATGTCAACACTCACTTAACGCATAAATTTAGTCCAAAAACAAAATTACAGTGTTTTCACATTAAAAGCATTTTAGAAATAATTGTTATTTTCTACAAGCCAGGAAAAAATGTATGCCAAGCTACAGCCCATGAATACAGCATTCAAACAACAATGCATTTCAGCATTAAATGCAGGAAGATACAGGGTGGAGCGGGAAATAAAATGACTTTTATTTTACACTATAGATAGAATTTATTCCTGTCCTAACAAAAGTTTTTGATAAATAAATGACCAAGGAACATTGACTTACTTCCACTAGAATCATAAAAAAATATCACGTCATTAAAAATTCTCCTGTGTGATAACAAAAATAAGTAAAATTTGTTTATTAGTCTTGAAAATAAAATATCCAAGACCACCAAATTTTTTAGTCTAACACTAACACTAATGTTTATGCAAAATCCTCTTAAAATAACTGCTCAATGAAACAAAGACAATAACATGCATTTTAAAATATACAGTTTTTTTCCCCAATATCAAGAATAAATGTAAGATAAAAACCTCTATACATATAATCTAATAATTAAGATGATTATTTAATATCTACTTTAACAGGAAGGAAATGGGGGAAAACAAGAAGAAAGAAAGGAAAAGAATAATTTAAATATCCATCAAATAGGATTTCTCTAATTATATGAGCATTGAAATCTTGTGGTTGTGTTTCAAAACTGTTTTCCCTTTACAGATTGTTTATCAATGTCCTTCATTCTCTAATCTCGGGTGGTATGATAACAGCTCACATTGATAACTCTCACAAATACTTGTCAGCAAGACCCTTAGGTGTCCTCTGATCCTCCTCTCACAAGAACAGGTAATGTATTTTTTACTATCCCTTTTAATTCAAAGTAGTGTTTTTCAACCTACCTAAAGAAAAAAATTGCAAATTTTTTGTTTGTGAGCCAAGATTTTCAGTTTCTGAACCAGTTAAGTCTCAGGAAACCTGAATAATGTCTTGCTGCTGTTATTTTCCAGTGCTCTATTTCCTAACAAATAGAAACTACAAAATGCCAACTTGTAAGATTAAATTAGTGTAATAAAAAATAAGTACTTAGGTAAAATTTAATATTTTTACCTTTCTCACAAACATCCACTCGTCAAGCCCCGTCTATAAAAACACCTTTTCAAATAATTTAAACACTTAATTATAGTAATATACATTATTATTTTGCGGGAAACCTGCAGCTTTGTCTCACAACTGGCAGATAACACGAACGATTGCATGGGAACTCCAAGTAATTGGGCTGTCATTAGTAATGACATTTATATGCACTTGTAGTTAAGCAATGTAACGCAGAAAACATATTTTAAAACTTCACTAAACTCCAGTACAATTTCACAAAGTGGATTATTTACAAACACATACATTATTTTTTTGCTCGTTTTAACTAAACAAATTTGTCAGAAACACAACACATCACATATTTATTTCACAATATTTTATTCGTGGTCCTACACCAAGTTGGTACTTCTGTGACTCACCAGAGGCGCTTTCGTTCTCCTCTACATTATAAACATGGCAAATGAAAAGCTAAGATCTATCTTTTATAGACAGGATCTAACCGCTGCATTGGTTCGCATGATCAAAGTGTCGTTTGAAAGGTGATAATTCCCTTTTCCCACTGCAAGATTGTGTCATATAATCCTCCAAAAACGTTATTTATAAATAAAGATTTAAACAAATCACAAGATGCGCAAAAATTGAGTTGGTGAACCTGTTGCAACCTGCTAACAATGAAATCACGATTTAAAAATATGATGTTACTTCCATCATGGTTTCAGGCACGCCCACCGTGGGCACGTCATTATAATATAGATTCCATTTTCGCAATGGAACAACTGACATTATTCGCGAACGTTTCCTAGATCCGTCATTTCGCTAGTTGAGAGATAAGTGGGGGGTTGATTGTTTCATTGACACGACAAATTATAAAATGAAATCTGTAGTTCGTTTTGCGGTGCAAAATAGTTTCTATTTAGCTCTTATTTCTGCTTATCAAATTTTGTCAACAACTCATTGTTACCATTCATTCTGAATTCAACAATTGTTATAGAAACGGAGTGGAGGTATAGCGCAGTGGCGGCTGGTGCTCCAACAAACAGAGTTTCAGCTCCATAAAATTACGGAAATGTAATTTCCAAACTTCAGAACACTAATATTTAATAAAACGGTAACAATTCATGTAAATTAATTAAAACCAACTTGAATAAAAGTCTATATCCAAACATTACTTACATGCTTTATATGCGCGAGGTCCGTGACAGTTACGTTCACCTCCCACGCACATGGTTCCAGCAAACATTCCAGTACGCACTCGAGCTTTTGGATTAGATCCGTATTTTACACAAGTTAATTTCATGATCTTAATGTTATCACTACTATTGGTGATGAAAACGCAATAAAATTATTTTATTTCGAAAATTCCTCTACCCTGGTATACATTGCCATCACAAATATCTGTAATTTTTAAGGAATGTATTTTCTCTTAACGGTAGAGATTCTTACTTCCTTAAGAATTATGACTTGACCGCAGTACAAACAAGACATACAATTACAATCTCTCGAGATTTTCGAAGAAAGACGCAGACACCCCGATAATGAAGAGCTTAGATATGTCCTTCGATCCAACACATAAGACCGCTGTTGAAGTTGGTGAAGATTTTACAGATTTCACGATAACATTGAGAGCTCTCTGCAATCATGCAGATGTGTCCTTTTTGACAATCAAGACAAATTTTCTTGTCCTACAATTTTCTTGCTCGCTGCTATATGTGAAAAATTATCGATACACTCTTTTTATATTAAATGAATGGTTGCGAAAGCAGCTTGGCATTGGCTAATCTTGCCTACTTCATAAAATCATTCAAAAATTCCAACCCAACTAAGGAGATGGTTGCTAACGTTTGATAACTGGTTTCAATACCTGGCTACAGTTGGGAGAACGTTCCTTTACTCAACATGTTGAGATATGTCTGCCTTCCACAACAAGACAAATATCGTTGCATCTGTAGCTGCAGCATACCAATAATGTGTGGATAAGCTGCTGCATAGACATGAGGCCCCTGTCCATCTTCAACCTCTTTCACAATTGAGCGGAAACACTTATGCGGAGGACGTTAAGGAAGATAAGGCCAGAGGAGCATCAGAAGACGAACTACAGAGAAGCTCAGGACTTTCCGAGGATCATGAGAGCAGCACGGGACGGCCCAAGATCCCGTTCCCAGAGATTTGAGAAGCAGAGGATATCAAAACGCAGCATAAACCAGTTATATCAAAGAGGACCAGACATCGCTAGCTCTCTACAGAGAGTAGATAGTGTTGTGTGTAATAGTGGCAAAGCTTTGCGTGAAGAACTAGCAAGGAATGTCATGCGTGTGGTAATGAATGTAGTATTGTAAAGTGCTTCTTATTCACGATTATCTTGCCCCGCGTTGGGCAGACATTTTGTAACGTGCATTAACATTGAATGTCACAAATTAAACTTATTTTATCATCCCCAAGCCGGGCAGCCAATTTATAACGTTTCATGAACGTGGATGTGTGACGACTGTATAACGATTCCTGGAACTTCTGTGGAATTTACTACTTACTGAAATTATGGCAATTCAATGAAATAGCAGCCTTTTCTTTCCAAACAACAATTAACATTTATTGTAAAATTCTAATAACTTATCTCGAACTCGTTATTGATAAATGATTCTACGGCCTTTAGACATTGTTAAACCATACGGCATTGATAAGTTCGTAAGCTTACGGAATGTCTTCTCGGATGTTCTGGATCATCCCGTGGTGTAATTCGTGATCATAATGTCCGAGGAAACTATAAATGTTCTCGACTGTTGCTAATTGTTTAGTTCGCTATTCGGAAGTCCCTACATCTGCTTTATACCGGATCTTTAGCTCAACTCGCAACCCAAGTCCGAGAGCACTTGTCCTTGTTTTGGCAATTCGGCAACTGCCTGTTTTTGCTACTTTTCAAGACAGCCGTGCCTCGCATGTCGCGACAGCAGAAGCAACTGTTAGGTGCAGCAACTTTCCTGTTTCTGTGTTTTTTCCATTCAAGAGCTTATGCGGGCAGGGACGCGGCTCACACGCCGGAAGCCTTTCGCGATGCACAGAATGGGTGAAGAGAGCGAGCAGAGATATGAGTAAGAAACAAAACGTCTCTTTAGGCGATTCTGTTCAGTATGGTTAAGAAAGAAAATTGTAATACTGAAGATGTGGAGGGAAGTTATGACACTGAGAATTATTACACACGCCAGAAGTGCAGCCCATCCGCAAATTGCTGCAGGTATCAATGCTGGGCCATCAACATGTGTCAGAATGCGAACCATTCAACGAGTCATTATCGATATGGGGTTTCGGAGCCGATGGCCCACTCGTGGACCCTTGATGACTGCCCTTCATAACGCTTTACGCATTGCCTGGGCCCGTCAACATCGGCATTGCACTGTTGATGAGCGGATGGACATGTACGAGTATGACGACAATCTCATGAATCCATGGATCCTACATGCCAACATCAGGGGATTGTTCAAGCTGGTGGAGGCTCTGGATGGTGTGGAGCGTGTGCAGATCGAGTGATATGGACCTGATACGTCTAGATTCGACTCTGACAGATGACACGTACGTAAGCATCCTGTCTGATCACCCACACCCATTAATTTCCATTGTGCATCCTGACGGACTTGGGCAATTCCGGTTGGATAGTGCGACAGACCATACTCCCAGAATTGTTACAAAGTGACTCCAGTAATACTCTTCTGAATTTTATTCCATATCCACTGGCCACCAAAATCCCCAGACATGATTGTTGAGCGTATCCGGGATACCTTGCAACGTACTATTCAGAAGAGATTCCATCCCCTCGTACTCTTACGAGTTTATGGACAGCCCTGCAAGGTTAATGGTGTCAATTACCTCCATCATTACTTCAGATATTTCTCGAATTCATGCCACGCCGTGTTGCGGCATTTCTGCGTGCTCGCGGGGGCCGTACACGATACTAGGAAGGTGTACCTGTTTTTCTTTTTTCTCTCTCTCTCTCTCTTTTTTTTGGGGGGGGGGTTCTTTAGTGTAAATAAGAATGGTTGAACAAGAGTTAAGCGCATAGACGAGGGCGTCTACATCTGAAAAAATAGTTTCAGAGTTTGGAAGATTATAATCTTACCCATCTTCTGATGGCAAGCGTTTGTCATGCAGTTTTTTCCACCAGCCGTACCGTCTCTTTTTCGTGTATTTGATTCGATGGCGAAACCAGCGGATATTCATACCAGAATTTAAAATGTTAGAATACCATTGGATGTATTTTTTATAAACGTAGTAAAAGCTCAGATTTATTCAGGTGATTTTAAGTAAATGCTGGAAAACCAAGTTCTTATTGAGAGATTAAGAATTTGCTATAAGTGGCATTTACTAGTAAATTAAAGTTAGTACTTAAGTTGTATTCACAAAAATGTAAATATTTACTTCAAAAGCTTGTAGTATAAGCATTTACTTACTTTTATTCACATGACCCACTGTGTCTATTTGCACGAAATACTAATCACGGCCTCATCGCCATGTGCCACGTCAAGTTCTATTGCGCTAAAACTTTTTTCGCATTGGTAACGGTAATAAGGCGTCAGCTTCAGCACCGCAGCTCTGGAATGCATTTCACTGCGCCTACGCGCTGACCCCTGGCGAATGCACATCTCCGCCTCCCAGCGTTATCGTCAGCTGATGTTATTGCGCACCTCAACACATCTGCATGATGGATTGTGAACTGTATGTTCAAGGTCATGCGTTTTTTTTTAATCAGCATGAAAATGTGCCAAATTATGTCTTCTCTCATCAAACGTCACCATAAATAATTTTCCTTCAACTGTTTGAATTTTGCAAACACCTACGGTCTTCATATAATCCAATCAACACATTTTCATGAGAAAATTAATTCATGTCAATGCAACTTTAAGTAATGTTTATTTAACTTAATATGTTCCGTTTCAAACTATGACTACCGATTCACCCAAATGATTACAACTTTTTCTTGTAAGCATAGTGAGTCAGCAAGTGTACTTGCTTTATAAGTACACTGGTCCTTCGAAGCTATTAAAGGTAAATGATCAAGTTGGTGACCTCGTAGGGCATCCGCCTTGAAATACTCCACTGTCAACTAAGCCAACTCCAAGTAGATTGCACTTCTTCACCAAATTCCTAATAAGAAACCATCACATTGTATGATCCTGAGCAGCTGTAATACAAAATCATCATGAAAGGTGAGTATAGCATGAAAAAATTTAGTTTTTGCTTAGACCATTTTTTTACTTTAATGCCCATACACTCTTCACAGTATTGACGACATTTCAAACTCTAATCTAGGTGTAAAACTGATGCAGTTGAACTACGAAATAATCTTCAGGAAAAACACTGAACAACTCTGAACAGGAAAATGTTAGTTCATTTTCACGAAACAGTCAATATGTCAGTC